AGACAAATCCCTAAAATGGAATTCGCACATCGATTCTTTATCAAAAAAATTAAGTTCCGCTTGCTTTGCGATAAGATCAGTTTCCAAGGAACTCAACTTGTCAACTTCTAGAACAGTCTACTTTGCCCTTTTCGAATCACATCTTCGATACGCCCTTCCATTCTGGGGTTCGTGCTGTGCGACTCAATTTGACCGTATTTTTAAATTACAAAAGAGAGCTATTAGATATTCCCTAAAATTAAAAAATAGAGCTCATTGCCAAGATTTTTTCAAAAAATATAAAATATTAACACTTCCTTCCCTTTTCATACTAGAATCAGTCTGCCTTATCCGCAAACACCTACCCAGTATTTCAGAAAGGCCATTGCATAACTATCCACTTAGAAACGCGGAGCATGATCTTTATCTGCCAACTCCATCCTCCGAGTTAATTAAGAGCTCCATTCTATACAACGCAAAAAAAATGCACAATCATCTGCCAGTAGTCATCAAGTCCATAGCATCTCTTCCTAAATTTCGCATAGCTCTAAAATCCTATTTATCAGAGAGAGCCTTATATAAAGTAAATGACTTTTTTCTGACTTAATTTTGAGCGTTCCACACACTGGATCATAGTTTATAGGTAATTTGTTCATTTTTGTATTTGTTCATGTTATATGTATTTGTTTATGTTTATATCATTTTATTTTGACTTTGTATACATGTAGATGTATATAATATGTATTTTTAACTTTAAGGCTTAGTCTACAAATTATGTTATAATTTTTTTGACAATAAAGCATTATTATTATTATTATTATAAAAAAAATGTTCTACAAGGTTCAATAAGTTTTTCATAGGCAATCAAAAGTGCCTAAATTCAAACTATTTTAAAACGCGCCGATTTGCCGACGTCACATAAATATTCTTCATTTCGCTTATGTCGTTGCAAGGAGGAAGGGCTCGGCTGTGTTTGCGCTCTGTAAAGATACGTAAAGGTTCGAATGCGCTGTTGTCGGTTGTGACTAAATGTAGTGCAGCGTAAAATAAATAAATAAAACTAAACATAAAAAATTGCATTAAATTGTATTTAAGCATAATTTAAAAAAAAAATGTTATAAAATCTTGAATCTATAACTAATTAATTTAACTACTTTTCATGAGATTTTGCCAACATTTCAGAATTAAATCAATTACAAATTTTCAATGTTGACAATTAGTGGCAACACGGTCAAATTGCGAGCTGCGACGTCATAGAAATAAATTCTGGGTTTTTATTTGGAGGTATTTCTTTGTTTTCTGTTTTCTCAAGAAGGACTTTGAATTTTTCAAAAGTAAAAATACAGAAAATTCTGTTTTTAGTTGCTTTATCCAAATATGCCAATTTCAAAAATTAGTGAAAGAGCCCATTTTCACGTCGCGTGCCTAAAAGACGCTCATTTCGTAACTTATTGTATAAATAGCTATTTTCTACATCTGTCAAAAAATTATGATGATCGCACACTCTTCACAGTTTGCGAAATGACACTTTTTTTCCCAGGTATTGATTTTTTAACGTTCCTATGACGCCGTGCGCGAACTAGCTATTTCGCACACTAGTGCGCGAAATAGCTAGTTCGCACACTGGTGTCATGGTGACACATACCTGTCAGGAAACCAAAAATAATTGAAATTCACCTACCTTTGATTGAAAATGCAATTTTGGCTTCGAATAATCGATATTTAAATGGAGTTGTAGAAAAAATATTGTTTGCAACTGGCAACTCGGGCGCGAAATACTTTGGTGATCTCGACTATTTTTTTAACTCGGCTGCGTCTCGTTAAAAAAATCAGATCTCGTTCACCAAAGTAGCATTTCGCGCACAGATACAAAAATAACTATTAGTGGAAAAATAAGGTTCTATCAACGAAAACGAATATTCTTGAATAAACTCTAATAAATTCTTCTATCTGAAAAATAAAATGAAATACAGAGAAAAATTGGTATCAAATTATTCGATACATACAAAATAGTTATTTATGCAACAAGTGTGTAAAGTGAACCTTTTTTCACGAATTCACATGAGTGAAAAATGGTGCTTTTCGAACGTATTGCATACAATTTTTTTTCTACTACCAATCAAATATGTGTAAAAAAATAGATTTAGATAAATATTTTACGCATTAGTGCGTGAAGTATTTTCACTTCACGCACTAGTGCGTGGAGTAATTTACCAGAAAAATACTAAATTGACAGTAATGAGATTTGTCATTGACATTACTTCACGCAATAGTGTGTGAAGTGAATTACTTTACGCACTAGTGCGCGAAGTGTAATTTTACGCCTTCTGAATAGTGCGTAAAGTGAGTACTTTACGCACGGTAGTAGAAAAAGTATATTCACAAATAAGTTACTCGCAACACACACTGGAGTATATTAGACTCCGCGACTTACTAACACGCTTGTCAGTCATAAACTAATAAATGCTTGATTCTGCCGTTTGGGGTTTGGGTAGTAAGAGGCATGAACTAAATTTTCATGGAGTCTTGAAACCATCGCTAAAAGTTCCGCTTTCAAACTTTTGTTGGGGTCCGGTAGACCCCAGTGTGTGTACGGAGGGTTAAATATGCACACTAAGTGCGCGTTCACATTGACACCGCTCGAGCTGTGAGCGTTGCGCGATGCCGCTGTAGCGATGCCCAAAAATAATTTTAACATTATATTTCAAATGAACATGTTAACACCGCGCGACACGCCGCCTCAGTGTGAACTTGTTCATTTGAAATATAATGTTAAAATGATTTTTGGGCATCACTAGAGCGGCATCGCGCCACGCCCACCGCTCGAGCGGTGTCAATGTGAACGCGCACTAAGGTAGAAAAGAAACAAAATACCAAAGAAACAGTTAACAGAGATAATAATGGGCTCATTCACTAACATTTAAATACGTAATTTAAGTATAAAATCTCAAAGGAGGGCATATATACCAGAAAAAAAATGTTCTACAAGCTTCAATAAGTTTTTCACAGGCAATCAAAAGTGGCCAAATTCAAATTAATTTTAAACGCGCCGATTTGCCGACGTCACATAAATATTCTTCATTTCGCTTATGTTGTTGCAAGGAGGACCGGCTCGGCTGTGTTTGCGCTCTGTAAAGATACGTAAAGGTTCGAATGCGCTGTTGTCGGTTGTGATTAAATGTAGTGCAGCGTAAAATAAATAAATAAAACTAAACATAAAAAATTGTATTAAATTGTGTTTAAGCATAATTTAAAAAAAAAAATGTAATAAAATCTTGAATCCATAACTAATTAATTTAACTACTTTTCATGAGATTTTGGCAACATTTCAGAATTAAATCTATTACAAATTTTCAATGTTGACAATTAGTGGCAACAGGGTCAAATTGCGAGCTGCGACGTCATAGAAATAAATTCTGGGTTTTTATTTGGAGGTATTTCTTTGTTTTCTGTTTTCTCAAGAAGGACTTTGAATTTTTCAAAAGTAGAAATACAGAAAATTCTGTTTTTAGTTGCTTTATCCAAATATGCCAATTTCAAAAATTAGTGAAAGAGCCCATTGACAAAGAAAAGTTCGAAACCGAATGAGCAAGAAATTGAAAGATAAAGAAAATTGGAAAAGAATGGGAAAAGAAAAACCTTGAGAATATCTAAAACTAACAGTAAACGGGTCTTCAAAAAAAAAAAACAATCAAAGATTGCTTTGAATACGAAAACGTATGTCGCATTATGTTTTTTCATTGGTCAGGATTTTTGACAGGACATTTTGACAATAAAGTTCATTGATAAAATTAAAGAAAAATATTGCTAAGACATACGTTTTAAAAACCATAGCAATCTTTGATTGGTTTTTTTTTTGAAGACCCGATAGCATGTGCAGTTGTTAAAGAGTTCAATTTAAAAAAAAAATAATAACATAAATGAATCAAGAAATAAGATGACAATACTGAACTTGTAAAGAAAGCTATAAAAACATGAGTTTTGTAATCAACTTTTTTGGATGACAAATACAGCTGAGCTTAAGAAACGAACAACGCATTTTTGAAACAAATCAAATCTGAAAGAGACAACTCTATTGTTTGCAATACCAACAATACACTAAGACATGTTAATGTAAAAAACCCACTATTTAAATCTTAGTCTTATATGAGATAGATAGGTAATTAAGGAAAACGTGTCATTAGTAATACCATTTTTAATAATATGTCTTCAACAAAAAAAAAAACAATCAAAGATTGCTATGGTTTTTTAAATGTATGTCTTAGCAATATTTTTATTTTTCTTTAATTTTATCAATGAACTTCAATGTCAAAATGTCATGTCAAAATGTCATGTCAAAAATCCTGACCAATAAAGAAACAATAATCTGACGTACGTTTTCGTAATCAAAGCAATCTTCGATTGGTTTTTTTTGAAGGCCCGTTACGTTATCTGTCAACCCAGATTCTGCTACCTAACTTCAACATTACATCCTCAATAATTCAACCAGTTGAAATAACAGGTCTCAAACTTCAAACAATACTTCAATGTATGCCTTGACTGACCTCAATCCTTGCTTTGTGTTCTTTTCTAGCATCCCTATTGGCTTCTCGTTGTTTAGTAGTAAGATCGCCTCCTCCTCCTGAAAAGATGTGGTGGCTCTTGACTTTCGACTTTTCAGACAACACTGTAAATATCATTGGGATTAAATAAAATAATCTTGAGGGGTTATAAATATTTCTGTTATTGCAGATCATACAACCCTTACTTTCTTTTCTAGTACAAACTTCTTACAAAAGTTTTTTTGTTGATCATTGACCCTTTCGGGTTCATTTGATACCAATAAAAAAATGACCCTCTTCTGATCAACAGAAACATCATTGGAAACGGCACGACTTGAGACACCTAAAATAGCTACAAAAATTGAAAAAATAAAATCGAGTCCGCATTCCCTTTAGTAATTCAATAATAGGACTACATTAGGCTTTGAACGAATTAATTTTGATACCCAGCCCAGCATTTTTATTATTTTTTTCAAACAGGTCCCACACGTTCAATGTCCAGAAGTACCTGCAGGACCGGCTAACGTACAATCTAGTGTTATAAATCCCCAACAGGTCTGTATTTGGATATATTTTTTTTTTTTAATTTTCATTTTTTTTTTCTATTCTAGGCAAGCAGTATGGCAGGTGGCCTAATGAACAGTGCTGTCGCCAGTGTGGCGTCGATTTGGAGGGGTTTTACGGGTCGGTAGTTTCTACGAATAATTTGTAAGAAAAAGGTGGATCAATCTAGGCCAAGAAGACCCTAAGTAAATATGAAACTAAGGCATGAACCTGATAAATAAAAATGTACTGCTGGCAACCGCTAAAATTTTATCAAAATCTCACTGATGCTTTTGTAATAAAAAAAAATTGTTTTGATGATATATTAGATCTTTTGAAATGCTTCCCAGTACTAGTGGAGACGTTTTGGTCTTTTTAAATTAAGATGAGCCCCAGCCCAGAATGCAAAAAAAAATAAATGACTGTTTAAAAGTGGTGTACCAATATGAAATATGTACAAACACTGAAACACTGGAATAAAACTAAGTCAGACAAATTTCAAACCCCATAGTTCAAATCATATATTTATTCAAATATTAACAATTTAATACCCTTATCTCTCTCTACAGATGGAAACTCTAATGGTAGGTTATTTTATATATCATTATGTTAACCTTTATAAATTGGTAGGTTCGTTGTTAGAGATTTTAAGAACTACTGTTATGCTTTTCCGATTTCTAGTATTTTATACACACTCTTGTCTGTTGTCCAAGGGTTTTCTGAATTTATTAAATCATTATTGTCTCATTGAAAAACAATGTACAAAATGGTAAGATATCGAATATCCTTGCAAACATGTGTTCCACTTGAGAATTGGCGCCACACAGGGCAAATCAATTATTGATAATAATAATGTGAATCCAATCGCCACTGACAATACATTCGAATATCAGTGCCCTAGTGTCACACACATAGAGATCACACATTTGAAATTAATTTACATTCGCAGTCCCCCTTCACAAATAGAAACAGAACGCCGTCCAGCATCTGCATAAATTGGTATTTTACAAAAATGTTCACTGTCCTTCAACGTGTTAACTTCCAAATTTCGAACCTTTTGACTGACTCATCCACTTGAATACCAAATATCACTCCTGATCTTTTTTTATATATTTTTTTTCATTTGGGATGTTCAGGATGGAATTAATAATGAGTAGATTTTGGTAGTAAATAGACAATTCAATGTTGCGAATGGAAAGTATAATGCCTCATGGCTCGCACCTTTAGCTAAAAGGTATGTGTTTTTCTTCCAAGACTATGAGAAAATTGAATTTTACTGTCTCTATAGTGAGAAAGTAGGGTTCGTGAGGCTAGTCCTGGAAAACATTCAAAAATGGCTAGGCAAGAAAATTATTTTTTACTTTTTCTAGTAGAGGGTGCCACAATAATTAAAAAAAAATATATTCACAATATACATACTTTATATTTTTGCCATTTTGATTGAATTTCAATTCAGAAAAAGCTGTGTTTGTTTTATTTATTATACAGAGTGGCAAAAAAGTCGCATATAATACCTGTAACTTTTTAATTACCTTGTGTACGAGAAAGTTACCTTAATGATAGTTGCTCAGTAAATTATTTCCCACATTTCTACCTAGACGAAGTGTTTCTGTCACTTCTGGTTTGTTTGCTATCCAGACCAACTTTATTTTTTCAAATGAAACACCATGTATGTGATTGCATATTTGGATTCTACGTAAAATTCTGAGCAGATTTCATTTGATATACCCCCAGAGTGACATACCCAAGTTCAACTGACTTGGAAATATTGACAGTTGAAAATTGGCTTTTTCGTAACTTTGACAGTCTGTAAAACCTAAACGGTTAATTTTAGAGGAAAACCGATCTCACATTCTCATCTTTGAGTTTCATAAAATATTATTTGAGACCAACTTTGAATTTAACCGGAGATTAAATTCAATTAGAATTTTCGATCATGGATTAAATTCAAAGTTGGTGTCAAATGATAGTTTATGAAATTCTAAAATGAGAATGTGAGATCGGTTTTCCTCTAAAATTAACCGTTTAGGTTTCACAGACTGTCACAGTTATAAAAAAGTCAATTTTCCACTGTCAATATTTCCAAAACAGTTGAACTCAGGTATAGGGTACCTATATCACATGAAATCTGCTCAGAATTTTATGTAGAATCCAAATATGCAATCACATACAGGGTGTTTAATTTGAAAAAACAAAGTTCGCCTGGATAGCAAACAAACCAGAAGTGACAGAAACAATTCGTCCAGGTAGAAATGTGGGAAATAATTAACTGAGCAACTATCATTGAGGTCACTTTTTCGTACACGAGGTAATTAAAAAGTTACAGACAGGTATTATGCGCGACTTAGTATCAGAAGTTATTCATGAACTACATTTTTAATAGCCGTGTTTGTTTTTGTCATCACTTTCGCCGATTTGCTCTGAAATGTTGACAGGCACGTGATTTGTAAATTGAAACTGTCTGATCCAGTCACGTGCCTGTCAAAATTTCGGAGCAAATTGACGAAAAAGATGACAAAAACGAACACGGCCAATGTAAAAAAAAAATACCATCCAATATATAATTTTTGCAAAAACTTGACAGACAAGTGTGACAGTTAGGCAATATTTGTCACAAAATGACGGCGCTATGAAACTTAAATTTCATGTAAATCAATGTATGGTCGTTTCCACCAACTATTTTATGGATGCCCTAATGATAAGTAGGTATTCCTTAAACTGACATTTCTCCATAGAACACTGTCATTTCAAGGAATACTTATCATTAAGGCTTCCCTAAAATGGTTGGCGGAAACGGCCATTAAATCGACTCCAATAAATAATCCAGGGTTATAGAAGTGTCCGGGCTCGCTAAGGCTCGCCCGTACATTTCTTCTTTCAGCCTGAAAAAATGTGACTTTACCGCCTAAGGTCTACAATATACCATTTTCCAGCTAACTGATTCGTTTCAAACTTTGCAATTTTTTTGCAAAAAGAAATACCAAATAATGATAGTAGATTATACCACGAGTCAATAATGATAGCTATTATTCCTGTGGAATATTTACGAACTGAGCCGCGTTAGCGGCGAGGGAGTAACATTCCGAGGGAATAATAGCCATTATTGCGAGTAGTATACTCTACTTTATTTACGACAAATTAATTTATTCGAAATTTTCTTTCCAAAAACGCTCTTTGTTCATCCATCTCAATACAAATACACAAGCACTACGCGTTTGACACTGACACTTTTGAGTTTGTTCAGGTATATTGTTTCCATAGTACTACTTATTTAATTTGAGAAATTTTGTGATTGGTGTATGATTGGTGTGCAAGCGGGAATAATGACCATTAATCCCTACGGGAATAATATATGACATTATACTTCCAAAATCACAAATATAATACTCACATTATATGTCAGTCGTAAATAAAATTGATAAAAGGAGTCTTGCCTTCTCAGTCCAGTAAAATGACTTTTTAAAAATTTGGAAATGTCACATTTCTGTCTTTTCATTTTCCTGCTCCATGTCCCGTCCCAGGACGAGAAATGAGGACGGGAAAATATTTCCCGGCCTCATTTGGTTGTCTTGTCACGAATTTTTTTTTTCAAGATATTATGGTTAAAAATAAAATAGCATACAAACCTCGACGGGAAACTGTATTGCTGTCTCGAGGTTATGTTTGTTTGAGAGAATATTCCAATGAATGGGAAATTTTGATCTTCCATAACCTTTTTAATACGTATCTACAAGCGTTTGGTTATGACGTTTTTACACAACCATTTTTTTAATATTTCAGTTATGTCATGGTCATGAGACTCATAACACAACTAATGGTGTTATGGACTAGGTTATGAATTCATAACACAACTAGTGGTGTTATGGACTATGTTATGAACCTATAACACTACTACACCATTTCAACCTCACTTTCAGAAAAAGTAACTTTTTTTAGGAAAATGTAGAGTCAGTTTCGGAAAAAGTAAAGTTAATTCCGGAAAAAGTTAAGTTGATTTCGGAAACAGTAAATGCAAATTCGGAAAAAGTAAATTCAAATTCGGAAAAAGTAATAAGTAAACATAGTTACATATCTACTTAGAAAATCCATTTGTCATCGCTATTGGACGAATTAATGCTGGAATTTGTGTCCGATCATATAACCATTTAGGAGTAAGTACATGTAATTTTTTCAATATTTGTATATATTTTTTAATAATGTTATTTTTCTACGTTTCTAACTAATTTTTTGTTTAAATATTACAATTATTATCACTTTTTCCGAATTTGAATTTAGTTTTTCCTAATTTGAATTTATCGTTTCCGAAATCAACCGAAATTAACTTAACTTTTTCCGAAATTGGGGTTGAAATGGTGTAGTTTTTGTTATTTAATAAAAAAGTCATAGTTAAATCTGTAAAGATAAAATGAAGGTAGACAACTAGGTACTAATAAACGATAATAATTGAAAAAATATTCTTATTTTCCGCTTTGTAGATAAAACGTTGGACATCACACGTGCGTTTAAACATGACTACAAAACTCGTGTGATTAGAACTACTCGGTTTATGACCTCGTCGTTCTAATCTTTCACACTCGTTATTGTAATAACTATTTTCTCATACGATACTGTACTGTATGTTATCTTACTATATCATGGGCGAAATTGAAATCGAAAAGGTGTTCATTTTCTACTTAACTATTATAGATTCATAACACCTAGGAAACGAAATACGTTAACATACCTATAACAACGTGACGGCATTATAAGCCCAGCGGGCGTTATGATCCATAACTCCCGCTTATAAATACCCTGAGGTGTTTTTGTTGTTGTTATTTTATTAATTTGCACTTTACCCTATGCAGCCACTAAATGTCTGACCGAAAATAATTTTTGATCTGGCCAGGATTTGAACCCGGTCTACCATCAACGTTTCCCATGTAGTCGAGCGCGTTAACCCACACGACCACCGCTGCCTTGCCTTATGAGACGTTTATAGGTATATTAATTTATTTTGTTTCTAGGTACAGGTACATGTCTAAATACAAAACAATATTCTGTCACACAAGTTTGATGAAAGAACATTGTGTTGAGTAGAAAATAAAGCATTGTATGCACCACGGGGATTTTTAGATTATAATGCCCTTCAGGCGAAATATGAAATATATCCCTCGGGCTAGTTTCGCCTTCGGCCATTATAATCTACATAACTGGTACCCTGGTACCCTTGGTACATAAATAGCTAATTTAACCCGGCCGATATTTATCCGCCGATCGTCTTTTTTTTTCAGATAGAAAGATATTGTCACGAGCCTATTTTGCTGTGACTCGGGGTTTGGGATCTTTTGGGGTTTCAATGAATTAAAACAATAAGTTCCAAAACATTAAAAATAATTAAGTTTATTTACTACAACTAAAGGAT